GAACTATAAAGGACGTAACTGGGACAACTGGGGGAAAACGAATGTGGACAATGTGTCAGATAACAGCACTGAATTGTTACATTTTCCAAATGAGGTCATTTTATATTGGTGATGTAGGGGAATGTCCTTGTGTTCAGGAGATGGATATTGACGTATTTGGGAGGAAGGTATCCTCTGCAGCTAAATTAATGGTTCAGCAAAAGAAAGGGGGAGAAAAAATGGAGGGAGGGAGGGAGACTGAATATAGGTACGTGAATGTTTCCTGTATATCCAACTGGCTTGTATGTTTGACATTTTTCAAAATAAAAAACTGCAGCAAAATAAAATAAGTGTCTCTGCGAGGTGCACAGAGATGGGCTGACCAGATCCCTATGCAAGCAAGGCCTTGGTCCCAGATGTCGCTAATGGGGCGGGCAGACACCTTCTGTTGCCCACCCCTCCAGGGGCCACCTGGGTTGCACAGCTGTTCTGCCCAAAGTCATGCCCTTGCAAGGGGGGCCCCTGTTCAGGGACTGATCTCTGGAGGCAGGAGTACATGGCTTGGCCATTTCTGCCCAGCTGGGGGCTCTCTTGTCACACGAGTTCCCCACGCTGCTGGCCCGAAGGCGTGGGCAGCAGGGAGCGGTGCGCTTGCTGCCCCACGTCTTCCTCTGCCCAACCCCGCTGCTTGCTTCCATCCCACCTCCACACGGGTGATCCGTACCCGAACCTCCAACTCCTTCACTTCCTGGGCAACCCGACCTCCCTGACACCCCGCGATGAAACACCTCTCTCCTACCTGCTCTGCCCTCCGTTCCGCTCTCACCACCCGACACCCCACACAGCTTCTTGGTCACGTGTTTACTAATTACCACTCCCACCACGGGAGCCCCGAGCGCAGGGATGCCTGTGGGCTGCCCTGGACCCCGACCTGCCGCTGGCACGCCGGCTGCTCAGGAAGGGTCTGCCCCGTTCGCAAAAGAGGAAATCAAAACGCTGGGGAAGCCTCTCGCCGCGACAACCTGCAGCAACACCGCCGAGTGCCTCCGGGGTCAGCGTCCAGCCGTCCCTCTTCCGAGGGGCGGGCCCTCGGCCGTCAATCTCGCGCTCTGCCGGCGCTGAGTGGCTCGCGGAGTGGGCCGGAATCAGCTCAGGGGGCGGAGCGGGCCTCCGCGGCCAATCGCAGGGTGCAGGGC